CAACGTCCTCCACAACTAGACTGAAGAACAAAACGACAGCAACTTGTCTGTTCCCCTTCCCCCAATTCCCAGCACTGTTTCCATCCCCCAATTCCCCAATAAAAGTCTTTAAAAAAAAAGAATGGCTAAAAATTCCCAAATGATAAAAGTGAAAGAGACATACAAATCCATGAATCTCAACATTTCCCAAACAGGATTATCCCAAAGAAGACTACACCTAGATATATTATAATCAAATTTCAAAAAGTCAAGTACACAGAGAGAGTATTGAAAGCAGTAAGGGGAAAGTGACTTGCTGCATATAAGAAAACCTTAAGACTATCATCAGTTCACTCAGCAGAAACCTTGCTGGCCAGGAGAGAGTGGGATAATATACATACCTGGCAAAATTATACTTTAAAAATGAAAGAGGAGAGATAACATTTTTATAAGACAAGCAACTAAGTAATTTCAACACTACTAGATATGCCTTATAAAAAAATGCTTCAGGAAGTTATTCAAATTGAAACAAAAACATGCTAAACAGCAACACTAAAGCATAAGAAAATATAAATCTCACTGGTGAACTTAAATATATAGACATATATAAATTAATATACTACTGTAATAATGGTTCATACATTACTTTAAACCCTAATAAAAAGCAAAAAGATAAAAATTTGTTAATGGATACACAATATGAAAAGAAGTAAACTTTGACAACAGAAAAACAAAGTATGGAATAAAGGAGTCTCAAAGTGTACTGTTTTATATGCAAATGAAATTAAATTGTTATCAACTTAAAGTAGAAGATTATAACTACTAATACGTTATGTATAAAATAGACACAAATAAAAAATCAATAATAAATGCACAAAAGATAAACAGAGAAGAACCAAAGCAAATCACTGCAAGAAATCATCAAATATTAAAGGAAGATAGCAAGAGAGGAAGAGATTGACCAACTAAAAACAGACAGAAAACAATGAACAAAATGGCAATAGTAGGTTCTCAAATGTCAACAATTACCTTAAATATAAATGGATTAAACTCATCAATCAACAAGCATAGATAGCTTACTGGATAAATAAAAAACAATATCCAATTATATGGTGTCTACAAGACACTCGTATTAGATTTACAGACA